GCATAATCATTAATTACAGAACAAATATCCCAGCTTTCTATTCACAACCTGATCTGACTTTTTATGATATTTTTTTTCCTGTGTAAGTACCTTGAGAGCAAGAGAAAATAATTTGCTGGAATTTTATTGGACCTCTTGTAAATTTTTATTATTTTTGGAATATAATTGTTATTGCATACTTGAAATTAAGTGACCAATTAAATTCTAGAGATTCTAAAGTAGGATTTTTCACTTTTAGTTTTATAATAGCATAATTCATTGAAAAGATCATGGAATTCAATGATTTTGGCCAAATTAGTATACAGCTTTAACCAACTGAAACAAATGGACCAAAGTATTAAAGATGAGAGAATGCAATGGATATTTTATCACTTAATTCTTATTTGTCAGAAACAAATAATCACGTAACTATATTCTACCTGACATTCCCAGCTTATTCCCTCTTTCTCCTCCATGCCACTTTTCCTGCAGGATATAACTGACATATTTCCATAGACTTCAAATTTTATTTCTTTGTAAACCAAATAGAAATAATTTTGTGAGTATCCACTTCCATTTTCATGAACTCCTTTCCTCAAGTGATCCCTCTGTAGTAATAGATATAGCCATGGTTGTCTTCTTTTAAAAAATGAGGTAAATGATTGATAGAAAGAAGTTCAAGAATAACTTCCAAAGATGAAACAGCTAATTACATAGAATCCAATTTATCCTTATTATTGTCTTAGTTTTGTTAGTGTTAAAGCATAAAATCATTAACCATCTTAGAAACAAGCCAAATGCACATATTAACACTACAAATACCTACATTATTTTTGTTCTGAAAAGTTAGCAGTGATCTAAATAAGTGAATAACCCTCTATTACACTCTTTTAAAAAGTCCATGTTTAGGGGCAGCTAGGTGGCGCAGTGGATAGAGCACTGGCCCTGAAGTCAGGAGGACCTGAGTTCAAATCCGGCCTCAGACCAAATACTTGACACTTACTGGCTGTGTGACTCTGGGCAAGTCACTTAACCCCAATTGCCTAAAAAAAAAAAAAAGTCCATGTTTCCTCTTGACATCTTCCTGATCCATGAACCAATTCACATACAAATAAAACAGGAACTTTAGTGAAATTAAGAATAACATTTCTTTTATGTGTATTATGGGAATATAGCTAAAACTACTTTATAGACATGTTAGGGATAGACAGTTTAGAAATGTGATGAGTCCCAGACACTGATGGTATTTGTGAAAGCACTGGGACAGAGAGGGAAAAAAAAAAGATGAGTGCAAACTATTTATCCTCTAATATTGAATTCACATTACCACTTAGTTGATGATTAAGAGGCCATGATTTATAGTGAATGAAGTAATCATAATTAGAGATTACAACACTTATTTCCTATCCAGTTCTTGGATTTATTCTTTATTTTAAGATTATGTCTGTGCCTAGATGTGTATTTGGTAAATAAATATATCAAAATGAAATAAAAAAACATGACATCTATTTTGAGCTAACTGAAACAGATTTGGCTATAGTTCCATACTGAGCTAATTGTGTCACACCCCAGGAGATGTGAGTAGTATTTTCACTCTTTTATAGGGGAGAAAATTGAGACAAAGTTCAAAAGTGAAATTCAGTGGTTACATAGCAAAGTACTAACCAAGCCAGGAATTTATGTTAAATCTCAATGTTAAAACTGTATAAATTATTGGCTTTGGTCCTCATGGAATGTCCTAGTATCCCAGTCCTCAATTCAGGTGAATTAAACTCACTGAGGTGATGGAAAAAAGTTAAAAGAAAACATGGTATTATGAAAAGAGCCCTGGACTTGGAGTCAGATGACCTAGGTAGATACTTGTCCTGAATATCCCTGTGCCTCATTTTCTTCATCTATAAAAATAGACTGATTATCTATGCCCTGGCCATCTTATAGAATGGTTGTTGTGGGGATTAAATGACATAATCTGCATAAGATCACTTTGCAAATGGTAAAATGATATATAAATATTGTGTGTGAAGAGTGATTACCCATTTGTCCATTTCTGTGAAACTCTAATCCTTCTATGTTTAACAGACAGAAAATCAGTCTCAATTTTACAAATGAAGAACTAAGGCCTGGGAAAGGGTTTTTGTAATAATAGTTAATCAATAAGCATTTATTAAGCACCTGCTAGTACTATGTACCAGACACTGCTAACACTGGAGATACAAAGCAAAAACAAAAGATAGTCCCTGCCCTAGAGGACCTCACAGTCTTATGAGAGAGACAACAAGAAAATATGTACACACAAGTTATATAAGTAGGAAATACTTAACAGGGGGAAGGTACACAAATTAAGAAGGATTGGGAAAGGCTTCCTGTAGAATTTTAGCTGGCACTTACTTGAAGGAAGCCAGGAAAGACAGAGGCAGAGATGAGGAAGGAGAACATTCCGAGAATGGGAGACAACCAAGAAAATTAAATGCCTGGAGTTGAGAGATGGAGTGTCTTTCTTATTAAGGGAAGAATAAGGAGGTTAGTGTCATTGGATCAAAGAGTACTATGTTTGAAGGGAGGTATATGGTATAAGTAGACTGGAAAGGCAGGGGAGGCCTTTGAATGCCAAACAAAATTTTGTATATGATCCTGGAGCCTTTGGAGTTTATTGAGGAGAGGAGGGTAACATGGTTGGACCTGCACTTTAGAAAAAGTGCTTTGGTGGCTTAGTGGAGGATGGAAGACTAGACTGGAGAGAGAATTGTGTCAGGCAGAACAACCATCGATCTATTACAGGATTCTAAGCGTGAGAAGATGAATGCCTGTGCCAGGGTGGTAGCAATATCAGAGGAAAGAAAGGGGCATATTCAAGAGATGTTCCAAATTTTAAATCAACAATCCTTGGCAAAAGATTGATTATGGGAGGAGGGGAGATTATGAGTCAAGGATGGCGCCTTGGTTGTAAACGTGGGAAACTGGGACGAGTGTGATACCCTAAACAAGAATAGGAACTTTGGAAGGGGGAAGGGATAGGGAGAAAGCTAGTGAGTTCATTTGGGAACATGTTGAGTTTCAGGTGTTTACTGGACTTAAAATTCAGGATATGAGAATGGAGGTCAGCAGAGAGGTTAGGGTGGATAAATAGATATTAGAATCAGAGCTCATTATTAAATCTACAGGAGTTGATAAGATCACCAAATGAAGTAGTATAGAGGGAGAAGAGGTCCCATGATTGAGTCCTGTGGGATACCACAGTTAGTGGGATACTAGATGAGGATCCAGTAAAGGATTCTGAGAATGAGTAGTCAGATAGGTAGAAGGAGAACCAGGAGATAGTAGTACCCTGAAAATTTAGAGAGATTAGAGTATCAAGAAGAGGATGGTCAACAGTGTTGAAGGCAGGAGTAATGAGAAAAGGCTTGGATTTGACAGGGGATTATTGGTAATTATGGAAAGAACAATTTCTGTTGAGGGATGAGGTTAGAAACCAGATTGTAGGAAGTTAAGAGAGTGAAAGGAAAGGGAGTGGATGTACCCACTGAACATGTCCTTCTCAAGGACCTTAGCTACAAAGGGCAGAGAAGAGATATAGGATGATAGTTGGTGGAGTTGCAACAATCAAGTAAGGACTTTTGAGGGTAGAGGAGATGCAAACAAATTAAAATAGGTTTATCATATGAGTGGAAATACAATGTTTTCCTTGGGATAATTCTTGCTGATGTATCTGGGCATGCCCGCAGCTTCAACATAGAAGTGCTAAATTATCTTGCTCAAATTACTCATCCTTTAAGCAATTCTACCTCCTGTATGCATGTTGCCAGTGTCCCTAAAATAATGCTGTATTTGTGTTTTAAGCTCTGTGGGGTTAGAGGCATACTTTATGATATAAGGCAGAGGTATCAAACACCAGCACCACTCCCTAGTGTAGCCCCAAACAGATTGGGGAATAGTTAACAAAATAAACTAAAATCTAATAGATCATAGATAATATCAATATGCAATTTTGTAAGTCAATATGCAACTGGCAGAGATCATTACATATAGTTTAGTGGCTCCCATTTCTATGTGAGTTAGGTAGACAACACTGATATTGAGAATAAGTAAATAAATAACTCATGACTTTAACCTTTGTAGATTAGCTCTAGGAAGGCTTTAATCTCAGACAAATTTTCCCCTTGGCGCACAACTTACATTTGAACTAACGTGCCCCATTTCCATCAATAATGTATTTAACTACTACAGATTAATTTGAATACTGGACTAAATAAAATATAAATGAGAAATATCAATAAACAAGGATAGTGTATAATAAATAAAGCCTTAGACTAAAATAGTCTTTAAATTTAGTTATTACTTATTTTGGACTAACTATAGTGGGGTTTTTTTTTCTTAGAATGAATAATTGAGTTGAGTATAAAATATATTGGCTTACCTTTTTTATTTTTTGATAGGTTCTATATCCTTTTACATCACAGAATACTACATCAAAAAATTGATATTAATGGACAACAGGAAAAGCATTTGTTAGGTCTGTACTAACCCTGTCAGTTTAGTAGTAGAAGATTTAACCTTTGTCAAGTGTTTTCAAGTAAACTGGGTGATGTCTGGATTAATCAGTTTAAGACGAAGTCTACCAGTGACAAGAGAAAGCTGCTTATTTTTCTGGCATGGTACAGATTTTTCTAATTCTTTTCATCAGGGCATGAATATCAGGGCAAAGCTTCCCACTGATTCCTCAGTTTATAGTTAAGCTCTATTTGTGAGACTGTATAGATGTATAAAGCATGTATGAGGATTTTCTTGTTTCTTGTTTGTTTGCTTTTTACCATGATACCTACAGCTATAAGAATACTGACTTTTGGTGTAGGGCTGGGTCTAGTGGGATCATTTGAACTAAAACTTGAAAATATGTGACTATAGATTTATGAAGTCATTTTGCTATGCACACTTTAATGTACAGATAACTTTTCATAATTAGCTTATAATCAACTTGATCACTAACTAGTACTTTTTTTGCCCTCTTTTTTCCTTTTAAACAGCTGTTGTGAATTTGGATAACTCTATCGTGGACCTGGAGACCCTTCAAGCCCTCTATGAAAATGTGAGTAGTAGAAAGAAGTGTGAATACACACACATACACACACACACACACACACACACACATGCACATGAACCTCTGTCTCTGTTTCTCTCTCTCTCTTTTTCTATTCTCCTCCTTTCCTACTTCCCTCTGTCTCTCTCTCTCCCTCTATTTCTCCTTCCCTATTTCTTTATATAGATAGATAGTATAGATAGAGATGTATACACATATATGCAAATATATTTGGTCTATATATGTATATTTGTATATGTAGAGAGAGAGACATATGCACACAATAGGAGGGTCAGCATATATGCAAATATAGTTTCTTTTAAATACTTTTATACATTAATCTGCATTTAAAAAATAAAGCGAGCTATCCTGTTTAGAAATTAGAGGACTTCTGTTACCAACATAGCAGCATGAGTAAGGAGCCCTCTGAAACTCTCCCAAATTCCCTTCCAAATAACTAGAAAACCACCTCAGAACTGATCTAGAAGCAGGGAAGCAACTTACCAGCCTGGCAGGAAAGGTCTGTCTCACTGGAGTGGGAGGGCAACAAGAGCAGCAGCAGCAGCAGCAGCCAGCCTCACATCAGGCAGCCTGCAGCAGGGCTTCAAGCCTGGGGCAATCCACCAGGTAGGCCCACCCTCCTGCAAACCAGGAACCCCCTAGGCAATTTAGGGTCTGTGCAGCTCAGCATGGTCCCATCCCAGCAACCCCACTCCCAGCAAAAGCCACCAGGAAGGCATTGCCCGATAGTAGTGAAGCCTTGCCCCACGGCTGGCCAACAGTGAGACCCCCTACTCTTGGGGTCTACCAGCAAAGAGACCCATTCTCCATAGCAACCCAGCAGCAAGGCCTCACATCTGGGGCAGGACAGCAGCCAAATCCCACACCCAGGGGAGGCCAGTAGGGAGGCCCCATCCCCCAGTACAAGCTGGAAGGGAAGCCTACCCTCCAGAAAAAGCAAGCAGCTGAAGCCCACTAAAAGCCAGTAAGACCCAGAGCCCCAGCATAGAAACCTTGGGGCGGAGCAGGACTAGAGCCCAACTCTCACATGAAAACACCAGGTCACAAAAAAAAGGCAGAAAAAATGAGCAAAGAACAAAAAAGAGCTTAATTATATAAAGTTACTATGGTGATAGGGAGGATCAAGGCATAAATTTAGAACAGGACAATAGTGTCCAAATGCTATATACGAAGCCCCAAAGAAAAATATAATTTGGTCTCAGGCCCAAAAAGAATTCCTGGAAGAGCTTAAAAAGGATTTTAAAAAGCAAATTAGAAAAGTAGAAGAAAAAATGAGAAAAGAAATGAGAGTAATGCAAGAGAATCATGAGCGAGGAGTCAATATAATATGAAAAGATATACAAAATTTTACCAAGAAAAATAGCTCCCTAAAAAATAGGATTGGCCAAATGGAAAAGGAAGTACAAAAGCTCACTGAAGAAAATAATTCCTTAAAACTTAGAATTTAATAAGTGGAAATTGATGACTCTGTGAGACATTGCAACACAATAAAACAAAATGAAAAAAAAGTAAAAAAAAAGTAGAAGAAAATGTGAAATTTCTCTTTGGAAAAACAACTGACCTGGAAAATAGATTCAGGAGAGATAATATAAGATTTATTGAACTACCCAAAAACTATGATCAACAACATCAAAAAAAAAAAAAGAAGCCTGGACAACATCTTTCAAGAAATTATCAAAGAAAATTGCCCCAATATATTAGAACCAGAGGGAAAAGTGGAAATTAAAAGAATCCACCTGTCACTGCCTGAAAGAGATCCCAAAATGAAAATTCCCAGGAACATCAAAGTCAAATCCCAGAGCTCACAGATCAAGGAGAAAGTATTGCAAGCAGCCAAAAAGAAACAATTCAAATATCATGGAACTACAATTAGTATTACATAGGACTACACCGCTTCCATACAAAAGAGCCAGAAGGCTTAGAATACAGTATACCAAAAGGCAAAGGAGTTGAGATTACAACCAAGCATCACTTATCCCCACCAAAATTGAATGTAATATTTTAGGGGAAAAAATGGGCATGTAATGAAATATAGGACTTCCAAGCATTTCTAATTAAAAGACCAGAGCTCAACGAAAAATTTGGCCTTCAACTACAAGACTCAAGGGAAATATAAAAAGGTAAAAAAGAAACAAGAAAGAGAAAACATAAGAAATTCAATAAGGTCAAACTGTTTATATTTCTATCTGGCAAGATAATATTTGTAACTCTTAACTTTATTACTGTAAGAACAATTAGAAGGAGCATATGTAGAAAGAGATTATGGATATAAGGTGACTTTGATGGGATGATACCCCCTAAAAAAACCAATATAAAGGAGTGAGAAAGAAAATTACACTGGAGGAAGAAGGAGGGGGGAGATCGAATGGGATAAATTATTCCACGTAAAAGAGACATGAAAGTGCCATTATAATGAAGGGGAAAATGGAAGGGGGGTAGTGGGCAAAGCTTACTCATATCAAAATTAGCTCAAAGAGGGAATAATATACACACTCACCTAGATATAGAAATCTGTCTTACCTTATCAGGAAGTAAAAAGAGATGAGGATAATAGAAGGGGGAGAGAGGACTGATAAAAGGGAGGGTATATTGGGTAAAGTGGTGATCAGAAGTAAAACACTTGTGAGGAGGGAAAAGGTAGGGGGTAAGAGAGAGATGGATAAACAAGTGAAAAATAGCATGGAGGGAAACACACATTTGTCATTAACTATAAATGTGAATGGAATGAACTCACCCATAAAATGGAAGCAGATAACAGAATGGATTAAAACCCAGAATCCTACAATATGTTGTTTACAAGAAACACATTTCAAACAGAGAGATATACACAGAGTAAAAGTAAGAGAATGGAGCAGAATTTATTTTGCTTCAGCTGAAACAAAGAAAACAGGGGTAGCAATCATGATATCAGACAAAGCAAAAACAAAAATAAATCTTATTAAAAGAGATAAGGAAGGAAACTATATCTTGCTGAAAGGTACCACAGACAACAGTTGTATCAATACTGAACATATATGCACCAAATGATACAGCATCTAAATTTTTAAAGAAGTTTAATTAATTATAGGAGAAAATAGATAATAAAACTATACTAGTGAAGTGCCTCAAGTTTCCCTTCTCAGAACAAGGTAAATCTAACTAAAAATTAAACAAGAAAGAAGTTAAGGAGGTGAATACAATTCTGGAAAAGTTTGATATGATAGATCTCTGGAGAAAATTGAATGGCAAGGGGCGGAGCCAAGATGGCAGTATAAAAGCAGTGATATGCCAATGGAGTGACTTGACATTCAGTTGGGTATAGAAATCTATCTTACCCTCTAGGAAAATAGAGGGGGAAAGGAACAAGAGAGCAGGGAGATGATTGGAGGAGGGAGTAATTAGAAGCAAACACTTCTGAGGAGGGACAGGGTCAAAAGAGAGAATAGAATAAATAGGGGACAGGATAGAATGAAGGGAAATATAGTTAGTTTTTCACGGCATGTCTACTATGGAAGTGTTTTGTATGACTTCACACGTATAACCTGTATCAAGTTGCTTGCCTTCTCAATGAGGGTGGGTGGAGAGGGAGGAAGGGAGAAAATTTGGAGCCCAAATTTTAAAAACACATGTTAAAAAAATTGTTTTCACATGCAACTGGGAAATAAGAAATACAGGAAATGGAGTATAGAAATCTTCCTGCCCTACTTGAAAATAGAAGGTGAAGGGGATAAGAGAAGGAGGGGGAGAGATAGAAGGGAAGGCAGATTAGGGGAAGGGGTACTTAGAATGCATGCCATCTTGGGGTGGGAGGAGGGACAAGATGGAGAGAAAATTTGGAACTCAAAATCTTGTGGAAGTGAATGTTGAAAACTAAAAATAAATAAATTTTTAAAAAAAGAAAATTGAATGGCAAGAGAAAGGAATATAGATTTTTCTCAGCAGTACATGGCACCTCCACAAAAATTGATGATTCATTAGGACATAAAAACCTCACAATCAAATTCAGAGAAGCAGAAATAATAAATGCATCCTTTTCAGATCATAATGTAATAAAAATTACATTCAATAATGGACAATAGAAAGAGAGATTTAAAGTTAATCATAAGATAAATAATCTAATCCTAAAAAACAAGTGGATCAAAAAATAGATCATGGGAACAATCAATAATTTCATTAAAGAAAATGGCAATGAGATAACATACCAAAATTTATGGGATTCAGTCAAAGCAGTACTTAGGGGAAATTTTACATCTCTAATTGCTTACTTCAATAAAATAGAGAAAAAGCCAATCAACAAATTTGGCATGCAACTAAAAAAAAAAACTTAGAAAAAAAATTAACCTCCCCCCACCCAATTAAACACCAAAATGGAGATCCTGAAAATCAAAGGAGAGATTAATAAAATAGAAAGTAAGAAAACCATTGAACTAATAATTAAAACTAGAAGTTGGATTTATGGGGAAAAGAATGATAAAATAGATAAACCATTGGTTAATTTGATTAAAAAGAGGAAAGAAAACCAAATTACTAGTATCAAAAACTGAAAGGGGTGAATTCAGTGCCAATGAAGAGGAAATAAGACAATTGTTAGAAGCTATTTTGCCCAATTATATGCCAATAAATTTGACAATCTAAATGAAATGAAAGAATATCTGCAAAAATATAAATTATCTAGATTAACAGAAGAAGAAATACAATATTTAAATAACTCAGTCTTAGAAAAAGAAATTGAACAAGCCATCAATGAACTTCCTAAGAAAAAATCCTGGGGCAGCTAGGTGGCACAATGGATAGATTACTAGCCCTGGAGTCAGGAGGACCTGAATTCAAATCCAACTTCAGACACTTGACACTTACTAGCTGAGTGACCCTGGGCAAGTCACTTAACCCCATTGCCTAACCACACCCCCCCCCCAACAAAATCCCCAGGATGAAATGGATTCACAAGCAAATTCTACCAAACATTTAAAGAACATTTGGTCCTAATACTATATAAACTATTTGGAAAA